TCACCCGTCTTCTTACTATGAACCAATATATCGTCAAAGTAACTCGGTGTAAACTCTCTCAATGGACGAAAAGGTTTGTGACCATTCTGTCTGAAAGTCGCGGAAGCGTTCTTAAAGCCTTGTGGCACCACTAACCATTCCCACAGCATACCACTGGGGGTACTGACTGAGATTAGTGGAGTATCATTTTTGCGCAATCCTATCGGATAGAAATCTTTTACATCGATCACACTGAAAATAGTACTGCCAACCATTCCATCAAGAATCATGTCCTCGCGCGAAACTGGATTCTGGGCAGGAATAGTTGCATCGATCAATTTGTTCAAAGCGTGAACAATGCGTTTACCACCTGTGGCTTTCTTCACACAAAAGGTTGAACTACAAGGTGTAAACTTACTCTCACGCACATGACTAGCCTTTAGTCGCTGCGCAAAGAGCTCGTCAATTGCAATGATTTGTTCTTTTGGCAACGGCCACTACCGTATGACACAATACTTCGTACCAGGAAGTATATCAATCTCATGACGAATGCCTCTGTCAGATGGCGGCACCTTGACTGGGAATATATCAGCATATTACTTGACAAATTCATAAACGGAGTTTAAGCTTAGATTGCCCCACTACTGCTCATCGAACCTTTTCTTCCGTCTCTTATCATCAAATACTCCCGCAGTATTGATGTCGTCGTAGATAGTTTCATCGACAATCGCACATATTTGCGCGTAGCCTTTTGCCAGGCTACGCTTCAGCGTCTTCTTGCTCATCAATGACGAGGGAACTAATACTTCGTCTGAACTTTGGAGATTTTTAATCTTGACGTGACGTATAACATCGACGTCACCTTCTTCGTTGTGGCCCACAACATGTGTAAATTTACATCAAATGTCTTGTTCTTGATTACTTTCTTCATTAAAACAGCTTATACCTTGATCAGGGGCACGCAACATACTTGACGGAAAGCGCTTATTGGTGACCTTCTTTTTCTTCTCTTGGGATGGGTCTTTGCCTCTGATTATTCTTCATACTACCATCAACCATGAAGATAGCAAAAGAGACAGTTTTTTCTGGTGTCTGACTGCTCCACCTCTATTTTTTTTTCTTTTTGAGCTTGTCCTGTGAATATGGGGGGCATCGCAAACCATTATAGCACTTGGGATATCTGTGATTTCGTCAACAGATCCACATGTCCATTCGTTGTCATGCTGCTTGAGTTAGCGCAACACGACAATTTTCTTATTCATCAGGTCAACGCTAGGCTGATATCGCTTCAATCATGGCATACCTAGGATGATATCAAAGTTAATATCAAGGTTGAGTAAGACAAACTCGTCCATTGCGAAGCGAAGGACTTGCTTTGCACTTTTCATTCTAGATCCATTCGCTAAACAAATGATCGTTTCTTCTTTCACATTGAGCAGGCTAGCACCACGCCCAGTCATAAATCGCACTCGAACGAAGTTGTTCGACGCATCAGTGTCAATCAAAGCTCGTAATGTTTTTCGAAATTATCTACAAATACTTCTTGAACAACACTCATGCTGGAAACTGTATTTATATGATGCACGTTGGGGACAGAGCTCTGTCTATATACAACATCTACAGCTCTATTCTCGGACCCAGTAGGGTGCCCCGCCCCTACTGGTTATTCCCGATTTATTACCCTTGGGAACATTCAAACCGGCAATCTTTATAGCGTCTGTGGTTATCCGAACGAGCACCCTGTGTCTGTTACCGACTTAACAAAGGTACTCTGCGATTCCGGGCAATATGACCCGGCTCCCGACAAAAAAAACAATTCCCATCGTTGCGTGGACGCTCATTTTCAGGTGTGGAAATGTACGACATGTCCATCGGCTCTGGGCCATCACATGTAGCGGTCAACTGGTGCGCTTGCCTTGGTGCGCAGCCATTGACCTTGGCTTGCTTGATGCTGAACTTTTCTTGCATCGCAATATTGATGGCATCATCCAGTGTCTCGGTATACACACGGAACAATTGCTCTTGGATTGGAAAATTATTCAAGGCCATTATGAACGCTACATCTTGCGTTGAAATGTCAATTGGCTCGTCGACAATGCTTGAAACCAAGTAGCGAGCACGCTGTGCATACGAGTGTAAGTCGTAACGACGCTTCAAAGGCCCGACACGGACACGGAATTCACTATGTGGTAATATAAACGCCTTCGTTAGCTCGCATCTGAAGTGTTCGTAGCCAGGGAAGCAGTTCGATCGACTAGATGCTTCTCACACGCCCAGCTCTTCGCACGACACGCAAAGTTAGACATCGCGAACAACGCTTGCTACAACGGGTATCTTAGTTGTCTTGCAGTGGTTGCTGCATCCAGCTCGACAGACCATCGTGAGAAGGGCTCGTTCTTTTTACCACGGTACAAAGACACATTCAATTCGAAAGGCATCGTTTTCTACGAAGAAACAGGGTTTGCGTCCGGCTTCCGAGATTCCATAATCTCATGATGCATGAAACTGACGGCTGCGCTCTTCTGGTCATTCGGAGAAGACGACTGCAATAAATTGACTACCGCAGCTTCTCCGGCGACTTCTCGCAACCGCTCTAGTGTCATCCACTTATGTAAAGACAACTGAGAAAACATCGCATTCGTCAAGAGCTCAGTTTGCGGTTTGTTATGGGCCAAGTATTACCCTAACTCCTTCCATGTCGCTCGCACAAGGACAGGAGTATGGCTTGGACTGGAATGCACGACGTGCTCAACAGCCGCCTCGTCAAACCAAAATCAAGTGTCGCTGAAAAGATCTTTTAAAATGCTACCAGGTGTAAGAAAGCGAATTCCACAAACTGTCCCTGAAACACAATACACACGCTTGTGCGACGAGAAAGCGATTCCCGATGTGAGGGGAGAAGGACATTCCCGACATGGAGAGAAGAAGAACGAATTAAGCGCTTTCAGGCAAATTTGCACATGAAGTAAAAGGATTTATGGTCGCTAGCTACATGCAAAACATCCCAAGGGCTCCTAGAGGCTCTAATACTGAAACCTTGGGTTCTTGGCTTATAAATTAAGGGTGAACTGAGGTTGAACCTCAGCTTTAACTAATAAAAGATCTTGGGTCTACCGTGCTGCATCGTTTATGCCCATTATCACGCACCGAATTGAGAGTTTTCCAGTCTGCATTGTAGAAGCTTATTATGCCGATTCTTTTGACCACCTTGTTGCGACTGTCATTTCTGTGACGTGGATAAGGCTTCATTATAGCATTTCTTATTGTCTTGTTGCCACCTCATCGCAAGTGCTATTTGCTTTACCACTGTCACTTACCCCCTCTTGTTTACTATGCGGTTCATCCTTTGCCAAAGGTACACCTTCATTTTTTAATCCAGACTTCATTGGCGCTTCGTCATTTGCTCTAGATACAGTTCTCACTAATATATAATAGATTCTAATGCAATTACATTTTAAAGGTTAAAAGATGAGGCAATAGCACACTAGGATACCCCATGGCTCTTAAGCATCATGCCATCCTTTAGTCGAGGTCAGCTACGCTATTAACATTCAGCGGGCGGGTTCTGCCACAGGATCATCATAAAAATCAAAGAATCATCTCGCGCAGTTTATTAGAGTCAACCTCGCTGTTGAGTGATATCTGCCCAAGGCACATCACAAAAAGATAGAAATTATTCGCACCATTAACAACCCACACTGAGTGCCCCCCTCCAGTAGATTTTCTTACAGACTCACATCGGTAGCTGCCACAGCTTCATCATTTCATTGGCATAATACAATATCAGTGCTTGTCATTTTATTATTATAGTACCATCATTTGGTATTTATAAGTTTGCTCTAATTCATCGGGATAACAGCGTAAACTACAATATGAAACGTACCCTGGTCTCGGAAGCAGACGAGTTTTCGGTGGTGATCGCCCGATATCGTCTGCCCTGACGTTTGGATCTGCTGAGAACGCTACCATCGTGGTCTTCAATCCACTCAATGACCTCTTGCTTGCGCTATATTGGTAGAGCATAACGACACTTATCACGGATTCAAGAAGAACCCAGGGTGAAGTGTAAGATTGTCGATGTATGACGGCACTTTGATGAGGTTTGGAATGATATTCAAAGGCGGAGTCTGTTCGAAGCCTCTTTCGACGTAACTTTTGCGCATGGCTTATATTACTGTGTAATTGCAGTTTTTTATACTCTCGAATTACGATTTGACCATTTAACATTTGCAAGAAGTCGTTTGTCTACTTCGCTTAGAAAAGGGTAAGTATTAGCTATTACTATCTCTTTTAAGAGTGTCCTTACTCAACGACTCTGTGTGAGCTATTATCATGTTGGCCTTGTCCGACTATTCTGTGATCTGCATCCTATCAGGCCTTTTACCAGCATGTAATGGAGAAATGAAGACGGTTTAGCTGCAACATCATGAAGATTTTAGACTCTTCATGTCCCGCAAAAAATATACCCTTACTGAGACCGAGATTAAATGTTAACACCATACAGTGACCCAATTTTTATTGCCTTTTCTTAGCATCAGACAATTGTTGCTCGTACCTTGAAGCACGCCACGACTGGGCTGAGAATAGGGTTTGTAACCCAAGCTTTTTTTCTATTGTTACAATCAAATATTAAATCACATTAAATATAACTTATTCTTACTGAGGATCGAACTCACCAGTACAGTATGATGACCGCAACCCTTTCGCGGCATACACATCTGTGGGAGATATTCACCTTAAGTTACTATGCCTTTATTATAATAAAGTAGAACATCCACAATTAGTGGGTGGAAGATTCTGGTTTTATGAATGGGTCAGTCGCAGGCTAGGGTAGCAAAGGGTGTCATGTATCACTATTTGGGGCCCGAGGTTATTATACAAATGTAAGAAATCATTTAGCTTTTTCCATTTTTCTTACGAAAATGTTCTCGTTCATAATTCAATACATTGACCTTGTCGCTCATCCGACCTCAATTTCTTTTGCCATCACCACATTCTGTCATGCTTACCATTGTCCATTTCGCTCAAATTATACGACTAAGTACCGCGTAGATATCACGAAAAATCGCAATTACGGCAATCAGCCAGCTTTAGTTGATATCTTATCGCTTAGAAGTGCAGAGTAGCCGCTTTGAGCATTGATGAGCACCTTTCGCATTATGAGAGCCACCAACCAATCAAAATATGATGCTTTGCATGCGCTCAATACACAAAAAATCACCACGTTCTTCAAAAGTATATTTTTACTTCGAGCTTACTATTTCACTGTGCCTTTTTCATACTCAGCTCTAAATTCCAGAATTATTTTATGTTTTTTGTGGCTCTTAAGATTTGTCTATAAATAACTGCGCTCACTGCTCATTAAATAGATGGATCGCGTGAGCAGCTGACTTTAAATGCATACACATTTGACTCATGATCAAGTGTAACAGGGTATGTAAAATTCGAGCCGCAATGCTCAAATGAAATTTGCATAGTGAAGCTGAATATGACACTAAGAAAGCAACTGTAGGAAAAATCTCAATTCATAAAACTTCGAAGGCACTGACGCCAGAAGTATAGATCCGGCACAAGAAAGTAAAATACCACAAACTTGAAGTTTGTATTTGGAATGGCAAGCAACAAAGGAAACCCATGCGTGCACAGCAGTGGCTGGTGTCCGCGCTGACCACTCATCGATCATTCCGCAATTTGCTGCTTCCAAGTCAAGACTTCCTTCCTCTCTTCAAACCTTTAGAGTACAAAAGTGATGATCTCCATTTCGTCAGCTGAAGAATTCCACGCTGCTGTTGCCGCTGCTTCCGAAAATCCGCTAGTCGCCTGCTTCTTTGCCCCTTGGTCGGGTGGCAGCAAGCTGGTGGAGCCCAAAGTGAAACAGCTGGCAGAAGAATTGGACGGGTTGGCCTCCTTCGCGAATGTAAGTGCCGAGGAACTTGAGACGCTCTGTGAAGAGGCAGAAGTCGATAATTTTCCGCATTTTCGCGTGTACAAGTCTGGCAAAATTTTGGGTGACCTCTCTAGCTCCAAAGCAGACAAAATTGATACTTTCATTCGTGGTCTCGTGGCGCCTGAAACATTAGAGCAAACGGAGGAGAGACCGGAAGGCGACGCAGTAACGGATGGGGCAGAAGAGGAGACAACCGAGATAGAAAATGAATCGACGGATGCAGCAATTTCCAAGAAGCGCCAAGAGCGCGAGGATAGTGATGTTCATGATGAGCAGATTGCAAAGAGGGCAAAAATAGAAGTAAATGCATCAGCATACGTAGACAACGATGATGTTGTAGATGGGAAGGACGGAGAGACGGCAGAAGTTGCTGGTGAAGCTGGTGAGGCTGAGCAGGGCACTGCAGTTCAAGATGGTGCTGTGCCTAGTGAAAAGATAGCGGAAGAGGCAGTCACTTGTTCTGTTGATGCCGCTGCTGCGTGAAGTATTGGTTTGGTTCAGATTACAATCTTGGTGCCTGCAGTTTAAAACAAAATTGAAACAATAAAAAAGTATATTCACGTAGGAAACAACAGCAATGCTCTGTAGCTATAAAAGAAAAGTGAAATCAATTTATTCCGAGTTCGCTAAATGTTCAGCGTATCGATCGATGATAAATCGATATTTTCCCAGAAGACCATTGGACTGAAGTCGGTTCTCCATCTCTGCCTTTGTCTGACCATTATGCCGCCAGTTACCGAATACTTCCTCAGCATACTTTGGATCCTTGGCGATTTTCTCTAGTAGCTCCATATCAAGCATCGCGTGTCTGATCGGTTCCAAATCGTCACTGTCGTTTGTTTGTCTTAGTATTCGGGTACCAAGGCCGTTGCCTGACGCCGTATCAGACATTATTGCCCTAAGGCTAGCTGACGCAATGTCACAGTTGGTAATAATGGTGGCTACCACAACGAAGATGTAGCTCAAACGCATCGACGGTCTTGCTAAATGTCACAACCTTTTAGTCGCAAAATAAAACTGGCGATTTTGACCTGGATGAACTCTTTTCGTTTATGTTCATTCTGCTCGCACAACATACGATAGTACCTAGCGGATATTGTAGGATCAAGACAGTAAGAACTGTTCCTAACCACAGTGTATTGTGAGCTCTATGCCAAGACGAAGATTTGCACTGCGACAAACGCTTTAACTCATACAGTAGTTGGCGAATTATGCAATCCTCACATGACCACCACGGCTTGATATAATGTGCCTCACCAATACAATTGATGCTGGCTTGTTAGCCTAGTATACGAATGCACAAACACTTCTGGATACGAATATGACTGTCATCCATCTGGCAGTTTAGCGGATGTAGGATTCCAGACAACAAAAGTATGGTCTTTCCGAAGAACCTACTGTGAACCATACATACCTCTGTACATTAATTATCAAGACCCATTTATTAGTTTTTCTATGCTAACTGCATTTTTCAAACGGATAAAGAACCTAGCAACAAAGTGATCTCATCCGTTTCGTTATGGAGCTTTGCAGGAGCTGAGCTATTCAGTTTTGCAGATGATATACATATTAAAATAAAAAATAGTAAGTAGATTACTGCAATATGTCAGTATATTTGTTATGCCTCGCGTATTTATCACTGCGCATTCTCCCGGATAAATTGCTCAACCTTTTCAAATTTAGAGCTCACATATGAAGCTGCCACCTCTCCGTCTTTATATACGCGGAACGTCGGAAAGCTGTCGACATTAATCGATTCACAAAAATCCTCGAGCTCCTCTGCGCTTACTTTAAGAAACTTGACATGACCAAAGTCCGACTCCATGAGTTTATTTACTTTTGGCGCTACCATCTTGCACCCACCGCACCACGGCGCCGAGAACTGAACAACAGTCAGCTGCTTTTCCCCTATAGCAGCATGAAATTCCTCGGGGGTATGAATGTCGAGAGGCATATGAAGTGAGTGAATCTTAAATTTTTATCTAAAAGGCCAGTTCACGTCGCCCAATCTTTTTGAGCCTATATTGAAAACGGTCAGTTGAATGAAGCCATCAGCAATAAACCAATGTTTATGTTTTTTAGCCAATCGGTTGGATGTATTACAAATAGCTTGAGAAGTCAGCAAGGGGAGTGCGCACAAGCGTCATGAGCGTGGACGCAGGCGGTTCACGTCGTAGCTATCGCAGTCCTAATAATCATCAACATTCTAACAATGTAAATCAACATCCTGGAAGCTTTCATCTCACTAGTGAAACAATTGCATTATCGTCACAACCATCTCCTCGCTTGTCACGTCAAATGCGGTCTAGTCTTAAAAAATCTGTACCATCAGTGGAAGAGGGAGATTTTGTCTGGGTGAGTGATGAAAGTGGATTTTGTACATCTGCTGTCGTTGTACGTACAGGGTTTGTCTTTGATGAAGATACAGAACAAGAACAGCATGTGACGGTCGTACATACTGAAGATGGTGAGGAACGTGCTATTCGTGATCGATCATTAGTGAAATTACCATCATGTCATCATCCAAAAGAATTGCTACCATTAGAGCTACATGATCTTAGTAATGTTCCTCTTATGGCAACGAATGGTGATACTGGACGAACCGAAACGTTTACATCGGAACAATTAGAGAATGTAGCATTATATACGTTACGCGCTAGGTATCGTATGGAGCAAGTCTACACTTGGGTCGATCGAGTGCTTATTGGATTAAACCCCGTGACTCCATTGCCTATATACACACCTGATCATATGCAAGCGTATAATAAGAGTCGAGAACATACGCCATTATATGAAAAAGATACGGTGCATGATGCTCCACCCCACGTCTTTGCTTTGGCACAGAATGCACTTCGATCGATGCAAGACTCAAATGAAGATCAAGCTGTCATTCTATTGGGTGGTATGGGTGCTGGTAAATCCGAGGCAGCTAAACTTCTTGTTCAGTACTTGTGCGAGATTGGCGACAGTGCCACTTTGCGACAAGAAAACGATGCTGATGCTGGAGTACTTCATCCCATTGGTCAACAGATTTTACATGCGTTTACAATTTTAGAAGCATTTGGAAATGCTGCTACGTTGCAGAATCCAAATTCGTCACGATTTGCAAAAATGATCTCAGTCGAATTTAGTAAACATGGTGATGTGATTGGAGGAGGGTTTACAACGCATTATTTTGAAAAATCTCGAATTATTGAGTGTCGAAACCATGAACGGAATTTTCACGTCTTGTATCAAGTCCTTGCAGGAGTGCAACATGATCCTGCGTTACGTGATGCACTGGAATTAAACAAAAGTATCAGCGAGTTTGCACTTTTGAAACAAGCTAATCCAGATCTCACACACGCTGCATTAGATGCGCGCGACTATCGAGATCTCATGTCAAGTTTTTCCGCGCTTCGAATTCGTAAGAACGAACGAATCGAAATTGTTCGAATTGTCGCTGCTTTATTGCACCTTGGTAATGTCGAATTTGTGCTTGATCCTGAAGGTGGCAAATCGACTAATACTACCACTTCCATGACGATTAGTGATGCTAATTCGTGCGCTCTTAAGGATCCAGCTCAAATTCTCTTGGCTGCTAAACTATTGGATGTTGAACCAGTGGTTTTGGACAATTACTTTCGCACGCGTCAATTCTTTTCAAAAGATGGAGGTAAAACAGTATCGTCGCTCAAAGTCGTAACAGTCCATCAAGCTCGAAAGGCACGCGATACGTTCATTCGAAGTTTATATGAGTCGCTTTTCAATTTTCTTGTCGATACACTGAATGGAATTCTTGGCGGCATCTTTGATCGGTATGAGAAATCCAATATTGTGATCAATTCACAAGGTGTCCACGTTTTAGATATGGTTGGATTTGAAAATCTCGAAGCTTCTTTAAACACTTTTGATCAGCTTTGTTTCAACTATTGGAGTGAAAAGGTTCATCATTTTTACGTTCAAAATACACTGGCAATCAATTATAGCGAGTTGGAAGAAGAGACACAGCAAGTGCAACACCGTCTAAGTTTCCATGCTACTATTGACATTACAAGTGAACAAGAAAAGTGCTTACAATTGTTTGAAGACAAATCCGATGGAATTTTTACCTTATTGAGTGGATCTGCTAAAGCCCGTGCTCCAAATGACGATGATTTTGTGCATAAACTCTTTTCCAGCAATGAAAATGTCACGGCTTTATCACGACCGAATGTAGGAGCTGAAACCACTAGCGATTACTTGGCTCCCTCCAAAGATTGGCGACTTTTGTTCATCATTCAGCATCATTGTGGAAAAATTACGTACAATGGCAAAGGTTTAGCAGCCAAAAATGCTCTCACCATCTCGTCAACGTGTGCTGCTATCATGCAGTCGTCCAAAAATGCCGTACTTCATGCAGTTGGAGCGGCTCAAATGGCTGCAGCATCAAGTGAAAAGGCAAAAGTATCGACACTTCGAGAAAGCATGTCCAAGTTTCGAACTTCAATCACCTCAGCTAAAGAGGGTAAAGTTATTGGAGAAAGTTGTGTTCTGGATGTCTACAATCAAGCGGATGCTTTGTTGCATGCGTTGAATCATACAGGAAAGAACTTTTTCGTATGTATCAAACCAAATGAAGAATTGGAAGAAGGAGTATTTGACTCGGCGTATGTGATGAAGCAGATTCGAGAGAATCACGTGGTGGAACTCATGCAAGCTAGTCGATCCATCTTTACCGTACAGCTTACATACGGACACTTTTTTCGACGGTACAAGAATGTGTGTGGTCATCGTGGAACGTTAGAGTCATTACTGCGTTCATTATCAGCAATTGGAGTCTTGGAAGAAGAGACGTTTGTTGTTGGAAAAGCTAAAGTCTATTTGACAAGTTATCAATGGAAAAAGCTGGAGCAAGCGCGATTTTTGTATTTAAATGCTTGTGCAACGATGATCCAGCGAAACATGCTGCGTGGAGGCTTTCGAAAGAAGTCAGCACGTTTGCTTTACGTCATGCGAGGACTACGAGAAGCGATGACTCAGCGTGATTCGAACGATTTGATTCAACATATTGCAAATTGTGCGCAGATTCTTGGAAAACGTGCGTGTGCAGACATTCGTGTATTGAACGAAGGTCGGCAATTAATTGTACGATTGGATGAAGAAGAATATGTGAACTCGATCATTGCCGATGCTACACGCATTGGGCATCCAAATCTGATTGAATATGCTGTGCGTGTTGCTGAAAAGAGCTCTCCGTGGCTCGCAGTCGATCCGTTACGACGGAAAAGCAAGAGTATTGTGGCTCTACAGAAGCAAAAGAACGAAAAATTGGCTGCTGTGAACGGAAAATTGCGTGCATATATCATTGCAAACGATCCAGAAGCACTGATGGGTTCGCTGGCGACATTGGAGGAGCCTTCAGTTGAGTCGCTAGAACGAAAACTTGCGACAATGATGATCATTCGCGCACTGGAGGAAAAAAGTGCGGTTGAGTCGGTTTCATATGCTCTCTCGACGATTACAGAAGTGGACGATGACGCGAGTGTACTGAACGCACTGCTTGGCCCTGCCACTAAAGCTGTACGACTAGGAGTGGAAGCAAAGGTTGCAAAGGTTGCTGAGACGCTGAGAAGATTAAACAGTCGCATTCATGAGAGTGACGAAGAGATTGAAATCGAAGAAGAGATTGAAGAAGATGTGAGTACACGATCTAAGCCTATCGAAACAGTTGACTTGCAGAACATCTTTGCTGCTTTGCAAAAAGCGTTGGATGATGAGAATTATGTTGCTGTAGACAAAGTGTTGGCTCGATTGAAAGTGCTTGGAATCTCAGATGGCGATCCTCGACTGGATACTGCAAAACGGGCTATCGCTGCACAAACAATCCCAGCAAGTATGCTTTCTGAACGAAAGCAAGTGATTAAATTTCTAGCTGTAGCTAAGATTTCGCAAGATATCGAGTTATTGTCAGAAGCAATTAAAGAGGCTGTTGGTGTTGGTTTAGCAAAGTGGGACTTTAATCTGAAAAATGCCGAGCGGGAACGCGAAAAACTTCTTGCAGCTCAAAGTAATTCGCCAACGACAGTGGAAATAATGCCAGTGACGACACAAATTGTTGTGAAATCAGTGAAAAAGGTTAAGAAAGTTAAAAAAGTGGTAGAAACCACACCAATCGAAATGTTGCTGCAAATTTGGGAAGCTGAAGACGTGAATGTTCTTGATCGTTTGCACTCTGCTATTCCACCAAACCTCCAAGGTGTATTTGATGCAAAAGTCTTTCGACTGCAACAAGTTGCTAGTATTCAAAAGACGTTAACTGAGGCGCTTGAATGTGATGTTCCTAAGACTGTAGAGCAAGCGCTTGGTGAGTCAATTAGTATGGGGTTTTGTTCTCCTCGATTTGAGGTATTATTTGAATATCACGCAACACTTCGAAGTCGTGCGAATGGAGAGGAGAAAAAAGAAGATGTAGCCACTATGGATGGACTTCACGCAGCTATTCAATTGTTAACTCGTCGAGTTGAAGAAAATGCTGAGATTCGTCAGGATGCTATCGAATTATTGGCAACGGAAATGGACGAGTTTTCAAATCCAAGCGGCGATAGCGATAGTGTGTATAATGCTGAAGAACGGGAACAGATACTACTTAAAGTTGGCAACTTGCGTCGCCATTTGGAATCACGTATTGCAGCCGCTGCTCGTCTTGAATCGACGCTTGCATTGCCTACAGATGCGGCGTCTGTTAAAGCCATTGAGTTGAGTATCGAGGTGGCAAGAGAAGCAGGCGTTCATGAACGATTATTATTGAAAGCAGAAGACAAACTGACGATTGCTCGAAGAAAATCTGTTGGGACAGGTGAACGACAGCATGGGCTCTCATATCACAATGACACGGAGAGTAGCTTTAGTCTGAATGGACCTAACGATAGCAAAAGTCCACGTTGTGATGCGATGGGAGACAGAAGTACTGATACTTCAAGCGATAAGCACCACAATCACGGCATAGAAAAAGATGCCGTTGCATTCCATCATTTTGAACATTTACGTGGATTCAACTCCCAATCAACAGGAGTTCTTGCCAAGAAATTATGCTGGGAAAGCCGCGCAATCTCGCAGAGCTTATCGATATTATACGATACTATGGATGAGACTATCAATACGACATTTGCGTCGGCGGGACAGATGGCACTGTCGATTAATCGCTGTATCCTCGGTTACATGCGGGATCGAATTGTATTTTACCGTGAGATGCTAGCGCAGTACATTCTTCAAATTGGTCTGATGAAGCCATCACTTGTGGATGAAATTTATTTACAACTTATGAAACAATTGACAAAGAATCCAAAACGAGATAGCAGCATTCGTGGTTGGTCGTTGTTTGCCATGTGTGCCACGTCGTTTCCACCGTCATTAGCACTTCAAAAGTATGTCATTCTGTTTCTGAAAGCACAAACGGCGGATAGTAATAGTTTCTGGCGTCTTGTACGCAACTTCGCGGCCTATGCATTAAAAAAACTTGAAAATCTTCTCGAAAATGGTGCAACGGGGTTTATTCCTAGTATTGACGAAATTCGTGGCTATGAAGCTCGACCGCCATTTCTTGCTACGATTCAATTACTAGATGGAACACCGTTAGCAGATGCTTTTCCAGTCACACCCGAACTCACAGTGACACAAATGGTTGAAATTTGTGCTCATTTTCTCGGATTAGAAGACCATGTTGTTAACTTTTTAGGTCTCACAACCACATCTGAACGTGTTGTGGTTGGAAAGACTGGAGCTACTAGTTCTAGTACGTCCATCTCTGCTAGTCGTGAAGGCGAGAACGAGCCAACAAATGACTCGAATGTTGCTAATAAAGAAGTCTCGATACCACAAACGTTAAGTGTGAGTACATCCGTCGCGTCCCCAACAAGTTATTTCCACAAATTTATGACTGCACCGTCATTTTTAAGCTCAAATATGTTTCTTGGGGATATCTTTGAAAAAGAACTCATTCGTGGACGAGACGTACGGTTTGTACTTAAGATTCGACTCAATCCTGTCTACATGTTGCAATATACCGACGAAATGTACGATCGATTGGTATATATTCAAGTTCAAGAAGAGATTGTTAAAGGCAATCTTCCAGTACTTGAAAAAGAAGCTTTGTTACGACTGACTGCACTTGCAATTGGTGTCGATTGTGGAGATGCACCACCTCTCTCAGTGGAGGAAGTGACTGAAATGCATGTGTTGGAATATTTACCACCGGAATGGCAAGGAGCTCATGATGAAGAAGAGTGGGCAGAGTTAATTCTAGATAATTTAACTGACAATTTATTGGATGATCAAGATGCACTGTACCCAGTGAGTGAATTGCAGCGTATTTACATTGAAGAAGTCACACGACATCGCTTATATGGCTCAAGTTTCTTTCCGTCAAAGCTTGTGAATCGCGGGCATGGATTAAATCATTGTCTTGGAATTGAAGTGCCAAATTATTTTGTCATTGCTGTGAATGGATATGGTTTGCACATTCTTGGTCGTGATGGCTCAATACTAGGATTTTGTGAGTACAATCAAATTGTATATTCTGGTGGCTCGTATCCACAATATAAAGTCTGTTTGAAAAAATCGACGGATGTCTCTGCTCCAGTTGAAGAGATTATTGTGACGACCAAATATTCCGAAGAGCTTGATGCTCTGATTACGGATTACAAAGAAATTACGGCACTTTTAAATGAAGCGTAGCTCATGTAGACATTTTCATAGATTGTCAAGATTGTTCTTTTCCTATCGAAGATCAGCAATATATTGTAACCCAGTTATAAAATAAAAGACATACTTTTGACTTATGACAAGATTCGTCCAGCAAGTACGTTAACAAGATTCTCACTCTCATGTTCAGGTTTAAACACAATAGTTGGATGATTTCCTGTCCATTTTGGAACACAGTACGTCCAATCATTCAATAAATGCTGCATCATCTTCTCCATCACAATATCTGTCTCTGCAAACAACCGTACACCTGTTTCTTCGGCTCGACGATCAAGTTTACTTGTTGTTGGCTGCAAATTGACAATACATAACGAACCAGCGTACTCCCCGGCCATTTCTGAAAATGGTTCGACCCTTAAACTCGTTCCAAGGACCAAGGCGACATCTGCTGCTTCACATTCATCAATTGCAATGTCAATATCACCCAAGGGTTCATCAAATCCAACAACATTTCGCTTTAATCGACCATTTCCATGTCGTGTACGCGCTCGAAGTCTTTGTTCGATCGATCTTTTCGTACTCACACAATTCGGATCATCACATAATCCGGTCCAGGGAAAATTTGTAGTATACACTTTCTCACACGTCTCACATTTTGCATGTGTGGCATTGCCATGCACTTCAGTTAAAGCTGTTGCAGGTATGCCACTTTTTAAATGCAAATTATCGACATTTTGAGACACAATATGCTTTAAAAATCCAAGTCGATGCAACTCAAATAGTGCCATGTGCGTAGGAGATGGTACCAAATTGTGAAAATCGGGAATAATGGGTACGAGAATCTCATTTTCTGGGACAACAATAATGTCGTCACTACTCTTTCTGTCAATTCGCTGTCGTTTTTGATCCGTCTGAAGCTTAAAATTCTTCGTACGAAGACCATTCTCTCCACGATAATCAGGAATACCTACGGACGTGCTTATCCCAGCACCTGTAAAAGCTACAAGGTGTTTTGCATTTGCAATAAGCATTGCTAATTTACGACACTTTTCATCCAATTCATACTTGGAAAAAGTGTTTTGTCCTTCAACGGTAGGTATTGCTACTTCAGTCCTCAGGTTCGTTTCGATATCGGAAGGAGTGCTGAATTCGTCATCGGTAGTTAGTGCTCCTTCAGCCCTTGATGTCATTTCCACATCTTGACGATAAAAATCACGTCGAGCAGAGCGAAGAAGTGCTTTCATAGGTGCAAGTTGGTAATTGTGTGCAGATGGAAGGTACTCGTCGCTATCGCTAGGCGAACGACACCGCTTTGACGAAGCCAGCATGGAGAAACGGCAAAAATGTCCAGCTTCATAAATACGTGGTACAGCAATTTCATGGACTACACATCAAATTCACAGCTGTAAGGAATTAGAAACATTTGATGACCATATTATCGTTTTGAATTACCTACGATAACGCCATCTTGTAGGTCAGTGACTTTAAACAATGTCTACACGTAACACATTTGAAGCTTTCAAAGCATTATTGACATTTTTCGAATACGATAAGTTTCCGTCGCTTCGTTCATCAAGCATTGCCATTGTCCTTCGGCTTGATTGTTCTGTGTAATTCAATAAGTACAATATTATTGAGTCTAAAGAAACGCACTCGGAAATTTATAGTGCTACAAAGACCATTGTCTAAATTTAGTCAGTAATTCTTTAGAAATAGTACTCTTACTATACAATGTCTTCGTCTATTAGTTCAAGTAAAAAGATCGACCAGTTTCTCTCTTTGAAATACTCTCTTTCACAATAATTCTCATAATCTGGACGCTCAAAAGGTATTTACGTCTAAGATTTTTTTAAGAACAAACAGATATTTCTGATACCAAACGAATTTTACCGAATTTTACCGAATTTTACCGAATTTTACGCAAAATAGAACCAAACTTCGACTGAAGTACGACTACCTTAAAACGCCTTGCCAATAAGTGCAGCCTTAGTATTCGTGATCAATGTTGGCACTACTGATGGATCTGCTAGCGTCGATACATCACCCAATGAGTCTTCCTCACCATGCGAAATTTTGCGCAAGATACGGCGCATGATCTTGCCACTTCGTGTCTTTGGTAATCCTGGTACAAGCACAATCAGATCGGGGGAAGCAAAGGCACCTATACGTGTGCGTACTTGCTGCACTAACTCTTTTTCAACATCTTTTGATGCGTTTATACCATCCACCAACGTTACAAAGCAGCAAATCCCCTCGCCCTTTATTTGATGTGGAATACCGATGACTGCTGCTTCTGCTACGATATTATGTGCTCCCAATGCACTTTCAATCTCTGCAGTGCCAATTCGATGTCCAGAAGTGCATAATACGTCGTCAATACGGCCCGTAATAAAATAGTAACCATCTTTGTCACGACGGCATCCGTCACCCGTAAAGTAAAGACCTTTGTGCGTTGACATATATACTTGCATAAAACGATTGTGATTACCATACACAGTACGCGCCATACCTGGCCATGGCTTTCGAATACACAATTGTCCATCTACATCACTGTCTCTTATCTCATTACCTTGTTCATCCGTAATAACAAAATCAATCCCAAAAAACGGTTTAGCGCATGACCCGGCTTTCATAGGTACTGCTCCAGGGAGACCCACACCAATGTGTCCACCCGTTTCAGTTTGCCAATAGGTGTCTGCAACGTAGCACTGACGGTTTCCAACAACTTCATAGTACCACTTCCATGCTTCGGGATTAATGGGTTCACCAACACTACCAAGAATTTTCAGACTTGATAAATCATACTCGCGAATCTTTTCATTACCACGAGCCATAAGTGCACGAATAGCTGTAGGAGCAGTGTAAAACTTGGTAACTTTATGGCGTTGAATCAAGTCCCAATAGCGACCATGATCTGGGTACATAGGTGTGCTTTCAAACATAACCGTCGTAACACCATTTGCCAATGGTCCGTAAATAATGTAGCTATGACCCGTAATCCAACCGGCATCTGCTACACAGGCAAAGATATCGTCATCATGAAGGTCGAATGTAAATTTGGCCGTTAACATGGTATAAAGAAGGTATCCTGCTGTCGTATGTGCAATACCCTTTGGAGTACCCGTCGATCCAGACGTATACAAAATAAACATGAGATCTTCCGAATTCATAAACTCAGGTGGACAGTATGGACGATGACGCAGAAGCTCTTTGGTCATATCCACATCAATCATAGGATTCATCTTGATCTCTGGGTTGTATGTGCGCTTAAAGACAAAGATCTTGCGCACAAAATCAAGTCCATTGAGTGCATGATCAACAATTTGTTTTAATGGCAACGTCCGACCGCCACGTTTGCCTTCATCTGCCGTAAAAATCCATTGTGAATGCCCGTCAATCACACGATCACGTAGCGACTCAGCTGAAAAGCCCGCAAACACAACACTATGTACTGCACCAATACGCGTGCATGCAAGCATCACAAATGCAATTTCGGGAATCATGGGCATATAAATGGATACAGTATCACCACGTCGAACACCAGCAAACTTCATTGCATTAGCTATACGACACGTTTCTTCCAGCAGCTCCGAGTAGGAAATATGACGATCCTGTCCAATTTCATCAGCTTCCCAAATGATTGCTGTTTTATTTGGATGCTTTTTAGCATGACGATCAATACAATTTGTACTAACATTCATCTCTCCATTAAGAAACCAAGCCGTATCGCCCTTGTTAACCGAGCCAACCATAGTGCTGTCAAATGGACGGAACCAATCAAGATGCTTGCGACCGAGTTCGCCCCAGAATTGCTCAGGGTCGTCAAGTGATTGTTTGTACATGGATTCATACTGTTCTATGCTTTGCACATGAGCGACGGTTGAGAATCCATCGGGCACTGGATACGCTTTATCCATGTGGGTATTTATTACCTCTCAATTCAATTTTAAGCAAATTTAAAAATGACTCGTAGGGTCATCCCCCAATCGACACTTTTATAGAAAAAATGGTCAAACCCAACGTTATTAAAAGTATGACGAAAGTAATACTGCGGACGTATCTTTTATAAGGTTAGGGTCCGACTTTAGATTTCGCGATAAATTTTCAACGCAGTTTTTAGAGTCTATAAAGTCAAACTGACATGATTGCTGGCATGCTGACATGATTGCTCGTATGCTGACGATATTCAGCCTGAAAAAAATCGCGATATATTTTCGTTTGTGCATCTATAAGAATTCGTCAAGATCTGATGTTCTTCATGCGATTTCTATGCATTGTACATAATAAATGATCAATCAAAGGAAAGAAAAGTGAAGTATCGCCCAGCATACCAGGAAAGAGCAGCAACGTCTAGCAGTTCACGACGCATGAATTGACGAAACGTAATGATGATATATCAGTGACTTGGAGCTCGAGCATGCAATTTATGCTCTATCAACTAAATCGTTTTCTAACACTTTTATTTGTACATATAATATTTCTTAAATCGGACTGTACTCTACATAGAATAAAAATTATAGACACTGTAAAGTATGCCCACACGTGGTATACCGCAAGTATCAAAGTATCAATGTGCCTGGCCACGACATGTAGCCATAGTGTGGGCAGTGATAGATGTAGTCTTGCCGTCTAATTTCTCAAAGTCCAGCACTTATGAAAATGAAGAAGTCAAAACGCTTTTAGAACATCAAGGGAATAAAAAATAGTCCACCTTTGCTGAAGATATAATTTTGTTACTCTGTTCGCACAATTACATTAACTTCTCCCACGCTTGAACTCAAAATGTATGCCTTTCTACTTTCGCATCGGTGATCGTTGGATTTTGCCCTTTTCTGAGAGCTCTTAGCAGGTGTCGCTCCATAATATGACTTAAGCTACGTAAAACGCAGTCAAGTTTAAGTGTGTAATGACAATTACTAATGAGATGCGATATTTATATTGATGCATTATCCAACTCTTCGTGGTAATGGTTTAGATTTTATACTTTACCACATGTAAGACTATCCAGATTTTCGATAAATGTTCCGACATAACAACTCTATCATCTCTATATTGGTGTGATGCTGCATTGTATAATCGCTGTCAACTAATCAGAGTCAATAAGTAGTCATAAGCACACTGTTTAAAAAACACGGCAGACTATGAAAATTCGAAGTTTTCTGACCGTAGTTGCTGCTTGTATCGGCACAACTGAAGCATGGGAGTATCCAGTGAAGAAAACAAGGTTGCTACAAGTGTATAAGCCAGTACAACAAATTGATACACCGTCCGCTTCCAAAGGTACAGCCAGCAAGCTGATTGACCCAATTGAAAATGACACTTTTCAAAGTACGCGACGAAATCGGGGCTGGAAGATGATGTTTCTGATGTGCAAAGTGACTCAACTTCTGCTTCTGCGTTAGACGACGACACCTCGAGTTCGCCTTCACTATCGTTACAATCAGCAGCCACAGATTCATCGTTAGACCTTAGCTCCAGTGACTCTAGTTTCTTAGGTGAAAAGAGCAACGTGGATAACCTGTCCAGTACAACAAGTGCCGCTACATCAGAGAGTCAGAAGTCTGCTGACGATCTCGATTCGAAACCTGCCCAAACATCAAAGATTCGTGATGAAATACTAACCTCTGGATCACTTTTCTCTGATGACGCTACCAGTGAGCTGAATGAAGGCATAGATGGTCCTATAAGCACAAACTTTACAGACGAAGCAGACATGACTTCAGACCAAATCATTGCTTCTGTGACAATCTGGGCAGCGCAGCGCATTCATGGTGTTACGCTTAAAGTATCAGCGCCTGTGATGAAAACACTTAGTCACGGGGTTGAAAGTGGTGATGCGATCACGCTTCCTCTCAGGCCAGATGAATACATTACGACAATGGAGACACATGAGGGGAGTTGGAACGGCCACACATGCATCTATTTTTTGGGATTTAGTACGAACAAAGGCGTCACAGTCGTGGGAGGCACAAGAACAAACACCAACAGCATAGTTCCTGCTCCAAAAGGATATCAAATTGGAGGATTTCTTGGTCGTAGTGGAATTTATCTCGAGCAGCTGGGTGTGATATGGCAAACAGTGCCAGACTCTTCAATTAAAAATTTGCCTAGTAGTGCGTCTACGTCTAGTGATGGCTCTTCATCATCTGATGAGGAGAAAATAGATACGACAAAATTGGATTTGAAGGATGACTCGGATACCTATAGCTTGTCTGATGCCTCTTCATCAGTAGATTCGACATCTAGTGATATCAGTGACTCCATGTCCGATGATAAAATGCTTAAATATGTGACAGACGCATCGACGGGATCGAATGACGACTTGACCACTTCATCTTTGGCTGATTTATCGACCAAAGTCTCATCGCTTGCATCTTCTTCAAGTGATGCCAATGGTTCGATGTCTTTGGATAATAAGAAAGGTATTGTAAAGAATTTACATGGGCTTCGATTTGATTCTCTGGACACAAGTGATGGTGCGAGTGAAAGCGAATTCAAAGGTGTAGACGATTTTACAGATGACGAGGCCAGCAATAACGCATCGGATCAAACGTCATCCTATTTGGATGAAATGTCATCTGGATCAACAGCTGAGCCTTCATTGTTGGCATCCAAAACAAGTGATGCTCATAGCTCAATGTCATCAAAAAAGGCAGAAATCAGCGCGGCGGATTTATTTGATCTGATGGCGAGTTCACGTTACGCTAGTACGGATACCAGTTTGAATGGGTATGACGTTAGCAAAGAGTAAATATGGCTAATGGCCGATCTTCGGTGGCACTGCTATGACTATTTCTGAATATAAGCAGCTTGAGTAACAGAAGGCTCTGGAAAGATAATAAAAAACCTGTAATTAGTAGGCTGGTGATCTGCACCATGCAAGATTCGCTATGCGCTGGATGATTCACAGTCAAAGTATGACTAGAGCTATTCTAAGGTGTGGGGGTCTCTGCTACCCGTTGTATGCTCTCTGACGCCTGTATCAGATCTAACTGCGTTTCAATGTCATGAGATATTAGTCGCAACAACTTCTTAACCTGCGATCAAGGCCTTGATCGACCTCGCTTCCTGGAAAATGTACCTTTTTGACAACACCTTTGCGCGTTTCATCGAAAAGAGAGCAGCAATAGCCAGAGGTAGAGTGTAAGTATTTCTAGCATCGCGTTTATCGCCATCAAGTAGTGCTTGCAGATCGAAGCGAGACGAGTCGTACGCGGCAGCGAAAGTATCTCTCCACTCATAAATTTGCTGTACTGAGAGTCGTGACTGATGACTGCTGCTGGCGAACGGAGAGCTACTGCTGGCTTTTACTGGTGTCGGAAGCGAGAGCTCTACCATTTCATGAACTGCATTTTGTGAGGAACAAGTATGTGCTTGAAACCAGCAAATCACAGAAGTCGTGGGTTGCCATTCCAACAAGTTGTCCACAACTCTCATCATTTATGGCTATATCTCATTTCAAACAAAAGAGATAATCCTGTCAAACGCATTAGAGCTTGATTGCAATATACGCAATACAACTCTTTAAGAACTTGTAAGAGATCTGCCGTGATACCGGTGCTGTGTTTTTTTATACAGAGTGTAGAAAGCTTTGGCTGCAGACGCAAAAGATTTCTTTCTATGCGGTAGAAGTGATCGCCTTACTTTATTGCTAGCACGAGTTTTGATCAATAATTTTTTGAACGTTTATAAAGTTTTGTTTGAAACTGAGAAAGGTGCAGATACCGATCTCAAGTAAAAAACCAAGCCATTAATTCTAACAAATGCAGAGAAGCGACAAGTAGCCGCGAAGACTAGAGGCGGTGAAGGTGACAGAACTTTGAACGTTTTCATCGCTTACTATACAACGAAACAAGGCCGTAGAAAGACTAAATCCTATTGGCTTGGATTTGTGTGTGGAAGTTCAGGCTAAATGAGCATGTCATAAGCGACGATGTCAGTCTTCTTCTATACACTACACTTTATGGTGATTCTTGATGCAATGTATCTTCGCTATTGCCACCCAGCCCCGCAAGGGCACACACTCGATTAATTTTGCAATTGGTGTATAATACTTATAAATGACAAGTGATTCTGACAACGAAATTTCTTCTTGTGCTTTGATCCATCGCTAAAGTACAGAGCTAATTCCTCCTGCAGTTTGAGGGAATTTTGGTTGTCTATACTATTAAGGAATTAGGCGCTTTTGACGTAGCTCTTCGAGACGTTCATAACGAAAATCATAAAATCAAAATACAAAATACAAAAATTCCAATTTTGCGGAATTGTCAGCAAACAACAACAGATGGTGGATATGACTACCCAAGATTGTATATATCCTGTTACTACTAGCATATGTCAAAATTCCTAGAATGTCATATATTACTTCTATCATACTAGCTGGGGAAATAGATTCATATCTCTTAACATAGGCTTTTTGTAAATCAAGAAATCATAATTTGCAAATTTTAGCTATCGGTAATATCTTACGCATGATATAACTTAACACTTCTATAAAATTGAAATTAAGTATATTTTCAAACATGGTCTGTATCCCAACACTATAAAAACGTACCTCGGTCAAGAGGAACTTCGATAACTTAGATGAGCTCACGAATGTCATTCTAGCCTTCATCTTCATACAGTCATTAATATCAGGATCGACTGCGGGTGAGGTATGCGGCTAATCGTGGCTAGAATCGTCTTTGCTATCTTCGCTGCTGGAATCATCACTGTCATCTCGCTTCTGGTTGCCGTATCTTGTAGGGTAAGTGTTCTGATAGCCGTTGCTGTTGGGAGAATAGTTGTTGAATCCATAATTATTCCCGCCAGTATAGGAGTAAGCGCTGGGATAGTATGTATCTCCTAAGCGCCTCTCCTTTGGGACTGTTCCAGCGGTTCTCAGAGCACGAGGACCATTCTTTAAAGCAGCAATATTAACTTTCGAAGCTACTTGTAAAGAGTTGGCATGATGAATGGGGTCAGGATTGACAACGGCACTACTAGTCGCCAGAAGTGTTGATGCCATCACAGCCGGTAGTAGTACGAGAAGGCGCATCGTTGCAGAAGGTAGGGCGGAGGAGATGGTAGTGAGATAAGAAGAGAAAGTTGATAAGTGAGACCTCTAGGGCCTTGCTTAAATTCTGGAGCCGGCTTTACAATAGTTAAATATTCGCAAATCATTGTTTTCTGCAATCCTGCAGCCTATCCTTTTCTCAATCCAATGATATGATCTGTTGTCTGTAGGTCTCTGTACTTTCACCATCTATTTGAAATACTTAGGGCACCCAATACCTTCTGCAGCGAGATTTGAATGCCATCTTTTTATGCTAATGCCAGCTTAAATAGCTGACGAACTTGCTTTGTGTAGGTAAGAAACAGAACCTTTGATTTCTTGAGCAATGACTAGATGTCTCAACGTGTACCTGTCTCGTGCTGATCACTGAAGATGGGTTAGAATATTCGTCAGTGCTGGTAAAAGATAGAATATCTATAAAATACGCAGTAACAGATATGATGGGCGTCATGTGTTGCGTACATCGAAAAGAAGTAGCAAGTCTGTTTGTTCGCAGTGTGCGCATACTGTTTAACTTCTGTCTTAACTACAAAACCTGCACAAATTCAAGATTCGTTAGCTTAAGTGACGTGGAGGATATGTGTACGACAAGAATTTTTAAGCAAGGGCGAAGAACGACGAGGGCTTCCTTCTATTCTGCAGGAGATTGCGATATCTAGAAAGAGCTGAAAAAGTCGTCATCATCTGCCCATCATTTCCGCAGATAATTCGAGAGATTTGAACAATATGGAAATTTTAAGCAATTTCATGATGCAAGGTAGTGCTCTTGTTTCGAAGTTATCAATGACTTTTTTTTAAACGGTCATGCTTTTTAGACTCGTTCGCCTTCACTGCACTGCGCTTATGGAGAAAAGATTGATTGTTGAGTTATCACTTCCGTTCAAGTAGCAGTACAGAGGAATTATTAGGACGTAAACCATTCAGCAATTGCTATCATAGTCAATGGGAAAGATGATCAAAAGGAGGATAGTAAGATAGCAGACGACTACACATCAGGCGACTTAAGTAGTGTTAGATTCGTATGGCTCAATCTGTCATTCTCCATATTTTCAAATTTCAAGTTGCTCACACAATTTTTTTTAAGAAATTAAGACCCTACCTATATCGAATTTCGTAGCAAATACCTTGTCTGCTTTTTTGTTTCAAGAATGACATATAAATGTATGAAATTACGTCTAAACTCTATCAAACCATTAATATCACGTTTACTAAGTTCAATAATTAAGTTTAACGCATCATATTTACGCTAACAAGCCGCATGTCTTTGGGACTTTCCAGCTCCATCGTCCTACCGTACTTTGGGGCTTCTGAGCAGTGTAAATTGTACGACCATACTTTGTTCACTTTGTTTTGCACTTTTAATACATTGCGCAAAAACATGAAAGCTGAAAGATAACCCACTGCGCTTGGAGTAATTTTCCCCTACTTGCACCTTACAGCGACTGCCCCTACACGCATATTTGCATCCATAACTCTCTCCCTATATACTTTCATATGGCTCAATGGGGCTCTATGCGATCGGTCATAGCGACTCTTCGAGTCCTAACCCCACAACTCCGCTATACCGGATTTGCCGAAGATTTTGCAAAGATGAAGCTTCGAATATCATTATACACACAGAAATTTTCTTAGCCAGGAGCGTGGCCGAGAGTCTCTAGCGTATCTACTTATCGATTTTGCCCTGCTGTATCAAGAGTTCGTAAATGCAGGATTATTAATAACGGAGATGAGTGAATAGAAACCGGTCTTTGTAAATAGTAGTGGTATCCCTTTGAAGAATAAGGACTGTTTTAAAGCATCGGGGTGTTATTTTTCTAAAGCATCGGGGTTTTATTTATGTGCGAAAGATGCTGATCTCATCCAGGCAGTATTCGAAGTACTCCATGCTGAATTGGTCGGTCTCACTCTCATCTTTTTAGTCTCACAAACTTCGAGAATACTCTCTCCGGAGACATCGTGGCGGAGTCATCGTCGGAGAAGCGGTGGCTATCTCCGACTTGCTCTCCGCACGACGAACCCATCCATGAACAACTTCCACATCAGGAGGACGAATATTAGCAAGATTTGAGTACAAGACACTCATTCCACGCATTAAACTCAGCACTTCCAATGTCCTTCAACCCTCTGCAGATAGCAATATCACTAGGGTGTAAGTCTGCCAGTAGCAACATCGATCTCAACTTTTCACGTCTGATAATTGTCCTCGATCTCGTTGAAGATGTGGGCTATCTTTAAGTCTCAAAAAGATAGCGACCCTCACTGATTGCGAACAGAGGAGATCAACAACGCACCTTCAACCCATGCTCGCGGCTGGTTTGTGACTTAAGCAACATTGACCTTCTGATCGATCCGGCCGAATTATCCTTCCGGATGAGGGCGGGAACTAGCGTAGTCTCACTTACTGTCGCGGCAAAAATGACAATAATGCGCATCGAGAAAATTCTCGTAGTCCAAATATGACATGTCATGCACCGATGTGATCGACGGTCATCGCTCTCGTGTCCTCAAATTTCACCGCTTTCTTATCCATGAGGATTGTCTTCTGGCGGTTCATGCTAGTCCTCGCATGAATCAAGTACCGCATGTAAGACACCACTCGAGCAATGAGCTTCTCGTCCGTGAGAATGGAGATATTGCTCTTGCGGTTGAGAGGTCATCGCCAATGCACCGATGCCATATAAGCTTCGGGTTCTCCTTCGTCATGTGCAGCGAGTGAGCCCCTGCTCGTAAGCTGCCTCCCAATTCCTGTATCTATTTGTATAACTTCTTGCTTAGTGTCGAGTTGGATTGAGTTGGGGTGTGCCACTGTCGAGAATATTTCGAGAGAGGGGGTAACGTATGTCACTCTGAAAAATATTGCAGTCTGCTATTACCTGTCAAAATATCGACTGGAATCTAATAAGGACCGATCTTTCATTCGATTATCTATCTATCTTAAATTGACTGCAAGGGAAACAAAAAAGTAATATTTGTTTCGCCTTGCTGCGTTAAAGGCACTTTGTATGTGGCATTAATTTCATTTTAATTATACTGAGTATATACGTTTTATCATGTCTTATAAAAAACTGTCCTAGTACTCGTGGTGCCGCTCAGCCACGTGAACCAGCAAAACTTTAACAAAGATAAAGGCCAACGTGCGCCATAAAGAATTCTTCCAATGCATAAGATAATCCAATGTTTTTAACATCCACGATCTCATTGACTGAGACCATCGCTTTCGCCTCACCACGTACTGATAAGTGCCTATGTTTAACTGCCGGTTTATCAAGTGGTCAACATAGAATCTATTCGTTCAGCAGTGCTAGAGGAGGTCAAACCTCTCGCAACAGGCTCTCGTAAGCTTTCTCGGTTGCGGTGGCTCGTCGAGAGAATCATGGCGCGCATTGAAAATTCGAAAGCTAGCTTTCAGAACCATCGTACGGCCCATGCCAGCGGTTCAGATCCGCGTCGCTGCTTTGGAGCAGACGACAGGGATGAAAGAGAAGCTGTTTCGTCGAAAATTGAGCTTTTCACGTCCGACTAACTTTTAAGGGTGTGGATAAGGCATGATTTATGTAACCTCACGTAGATCACTGGATCTGATTGCACTTTGTTTGGGTTATGTAAAGTATAACTCAATATTCTCTTTGCTACGATCGTAAATGGTCCGATGCCGCGTTCGCAGCTTGGTCTTTTAGACTTCTAACTCTGTATGTATAGACGTTTTTACAGTGTTCAATTTACCCATTTAACTTCAGTATATTCGTGTGTGTGTTCCGCCTGCCTTTGTCATCAGCGGTTGCCTTTGATTGCCTGTTTACTCAGCCATCAGCTCACTGCCCATGACACTCACTCTCATTAAGATAGACGCGGTGAATTTACCAGAATTTTTAGTGAGCTGATACCAGCGAGTCAATTTTGGTTGACAGATCCTTCCCACTATGGCCTTTACCACTTTGTGGCGGTGCCAAAAGCACCCGGATGTCCACCAAAATATTCATGTGAAATGGGTCAAAGCCTATAGATGAATGTACTTTGTTACTTAACGCAAACGCAATAAGTGGGTTGTAACTTCACCAGCTCTGTCGCCTCTTCACGCAAGTACGCTGCAAGACATCTTTCACAAAGCGATTCGGGTAGTTTACAGGACTATCTGTTTGCGAGTGATCCGCAGTTGATATAACCTATCTTGTGCAGAGCACCTTGAACGATATTCGCTAACACTTTGCTGTAAACTGCGGATCTTTATTTTATACAATGAATCATGGAACAGCTTACATATATCCTCACTCTTCACATTATCGCTAGCAGCAGCGAGATATAATCTATATCGCTCAGACAACTCACAAAGATCAGAATCTGGTTATCAGACGAGTCTTCTGAAAATCGTAGATATATCTTATGTTAATGACCCGCCAGCACACTTCCGGAACTGGCAGAGTGACTAAAGTGTCTAATTCGTTGACTAGATTTGCGGAGCACTCACGTGCGGCGACTCACTTATGAATGTTGGGGTACCAGTACACAGTGCTCGCCGAGTTGGTACTATCATGCCTCGTCCCGTGTTTTGTGCTAAAGGTTTTTGTCGTGAGGTATCACTACAAGGTGGTCAGTGTTGTAATAAACCAAGCCTTGTGGGAGATGTGGTGACGACGTCGCTGTGTGTAACGACATATGATCTTTACATATCACAAAATCTTTTGACTCGACGCCAAGCTGGTATCCGCAACAATTTCGACGCAAGCACCAATACTTAGAAAGGAAATGTTACAGAAAGGCATGGTTGGCTGCACGTTGCTCTGTGCCCTCGACTTGGTTGATGGATATTATCAGATGCTGATGGGAGACAGCGATATCCCTTCCACTGCAGTGAATGCTCCGCATTCGCCCCTCTTGTAATAGCTGGTGTTTGCGACAAAGACTTTCCGACGCACCAGCGACGTGGTCCTCACCTGTTCAGGTCACGTCGTGGCTATGTACAAATCAATACTGAATATATATATGTTCATAGTTGTGCAAAGTTCGGAAAGCTGAATACGAGATTCATATTAAACAATTTCGAGCATTGCTCGAGTATTTGTGTTGGAATGAGTTCTTTGTCTATGTGTTTTTGGCGCAGACAAATCTACCTATCTGTATTGCTTTGTCAGAAAGCAAGGTCTTCCGGTAAGCTCCGCAAATATTAAGGTCATTGTAGATTGACATCTTTTTTTCGAAGGGACTCGGGAAAGTGGTTTGGCCTACCCAAATACTTGCACAAGTGTAGTGCAGACTATGCTGGCAAGGCGCGACCTCTCATCAATCTAAAAGGATGTTGATAAATCGATGAAAGCTGTAGTTTTGTAAGGCTGTGATAGAAGTCTCATGCAAGCTTCGATTCCGTTTTTTTTTCGAATTCAGATCAGCCATACCACGTAGTCTGGGAAGCTTCAGTCTTTGCGAAAGTGTGCTTCACTCCAAGCATATGCCAATGGGCATGACCTCGTGATAGTTATTGATAATGACTAGCTTAAGGCTGCGAAGAGGAACAACTCTATTCGTTACGGGGTGCTACTTGTATTAAAGTATGCTTTTGTCAGGTTCAGGGTGCGTCTGCATTGCTGTAAGCCGTTGTTCTTTTCACGATTCTGTTTTGTTATATTATACCTGTGCTGTCACACTGTTCTTTTTGTATGGTTCATTTTGTGGACGCAATTTTTGTTCTAATACAAAAAATCAAGTGGCGCACTTCCCTAGTGAGGATTACGTCGTGCCTTTCCCTTACGAAGATGTGTACGATCCTTGAGAGTTGCCGATTATCTTCTCACACTCGCTCGATCGTGAGATCGACTACAAGATCTTAAAAGTGAAACGAATATGTCATGCATCTGTACAGTGGTAGTTAAAATCAAAGCGTCAGCGTTAACGTACGCACAAAGGTTGGATTCGTACGCTCCGTTCAGGATCGAAGCCAAGAGCTTGAAGCGTATTAGTCATTCGCCTGCTCTGCTTTCTCGAGAGCGACATGCAATATAGATTAACTTTTTACACACGAATACGATTGTCTTTATTAAATGACGCGCGGCTAGCAGCCCACATATACCACTAATAAATACCGATTCTTTGGTACATATGTACAGTTACATCAAAGTACAAAAGAATTGATTTATTACAATTGTATCAAAAGTTACTACAGTACATGCCCCGTTACAGTTTTGTCCTAAATGTGTCATACCCTGCGATTGTTTAAATTGTCAGAACATATTTCAATTTTTACCAACGTGCAGGAGAACCAGTCATGTTGATCTCAGATACATCGTCGAGTATGCGAGTGATATTGACGCGGACCACAAGACGGTACACAGTATCAACGTGCTATCAATGATGTCGGCAAAACTTATCCAATAAAAATTTCTAACGCTTTGGAATAGGACGCCAAGATGTGCGCTTTGATGTTTGAAGTCGGTGTATAGACGATAAATTTGCGTTTGAGCTAGCAACATGGGCACATACAACTCACCACAAAATGCGAACAAAAGAAGAAGTATCAATATTAATATTGTAATGATAAATGGCTTTGCAATGAGGTTCCGCTATGTTTTCAAGCAATCCAGCTCCTAAGTAATGAGATTAGCAATGATTCATTGTTTGCATCATCAGAAGAAGGTGCTGGAAGTGTCGACGAAGATGTTTCCATGGGCAGGGAGTTTGCACTGTCGTCGTCATGATGTCTGAACTCCTCATTTCCGTCTTTGTCTTCAATATTTGAGTCACCACTTCCCTGATCATAGTCATCATTTCTTTCTGACAGCAAGCGCTTTGTCACTTGCTCATTATCTACTTCCATTGCTGCACCTTTAAACGCGAATGTCGTCGGGATGTAGAGTGAGACACTGATTTCAGTATAAGTCGCCATCATAATCACCATGGTAGTAAATGCTCGAACAATTGCGTGCGAAGGCATAAGGAGATTGTCCTGGAAGATCGACGAATGGCTAGGGCTAAAAGTGCTCGACAGTCTTCTACTTTTTCCGTCTGGATAGTAAACAGTTGTCGCACATTTCTGGCTTCTATACATTTTTATCAAATAAAGTTCTTTCGTTTACCGCATTAAACCATGCGGTATGCCATTCTTATTGAGAGGATTGTGCTGCTTCATCAAAAAAAGCAGACCTGTAAAATATTAAATTTGCCTCAATGTATTCTTTCATACTTCTTCAGCAATATATTTTACTTACCAAATTAATGATATCTGAAAAAATATTATAAGAAATTTTCTCCTTGCGGATGGCTACACCTCGTTGTCGCAGTCGTCATAGTTCTTTAGGTCACCTTCATCTTAGCTCGGGCGAAATCGAGCTCTATTCACGTCAAGATGAGATAGCGCGTCGACGACATCGACTCTTGTCTATACGTGATCAGGAGCGACGCTTAGCGCAGCAAGTGACGCAGCGCTACCGTGAAAACTTGCACAAGTTGCAGTGCAGCAAGCGCAAACGGACACAACAACAGCTTAACGTAGAGCGGCAAGCTTTATTAACAGAACTTGACACAAAATACAAGAACTCGTTGCAAAATGTGGGAACGGCGCAGCGCTATGCGCGACTGAAGCTGGTAGAACTTCTGGAACAGGCTCAAAATGAAGAGGACAAGTGGGCGTACAACCGCCAAGTTGCAGAAAAATGGCGAGTTATGCAAGCTAAAGAAGCTCAGAGTCATGAAGAAGAAGGGAAGATGGCAAGACGGCAACAGATACAGCAGAAGGTTGAGAGATGGAGGCTTGCGAGTAGCAAACAGAGACAGCAAGCCAATGCACGGGCACAACGAGATCGACATGTAGCAGCTCAACGAGCTGAAGATCTCAAGCAGATTGAAACGCTCAATAAGATGCAAAGATCAAAAGATGTGATACTTATGCCAAAACTACGTGAGAAAGATGTATTGTCGTATCAGTATTCAAGGATTCATTGTCTTGCACCGACGTTAAATGTCAAGAGACCTGAACCAGCAGTAATTTGCCATAATCTATCTCACCCCACGGCAATTCGTGAAAAGGAAGAGGCGAAAAAGTTTCTTGATGCCTTGGATCTAAAAAGGGAACAAGATCGATTGATTAAAAAAAATCAGCTGGATAAAGCGGTGGAAAGAGGAAAACAGGCGTCAGAGAAAATCGTTTCTAAACAACAAGGAAAACAGGCGGTGGAATGGCTTGCGATGGTGGATCAAATGGAACGACGGGCACGTGGACGAACATTAGGCGAAAATGTCGATAATTTTCATGTGCGAGAACTTGGAGAGCGTGACAATCCAGAAAATATGACTGAGCAAAAATTCGCACAGCTGTTTGAGTTAAATGGCGACTCGATTGAGTTGTCTGAATTTTCTATTGAAACGGATGATGACCAGCTTGTATGTGGGAGTCGTAAGGGGTTAAATGGAGATAAAGTGGCAGCGGTAGGCATCGATGCCAATATCACGCTAAAAGTTCCAATAGTTAGTGATGTTGACAGCGTACGTGATCAAGTTGATGCTGCAAAAGATGATTTGCATGCTTCAGATGGGCAATTTGATGTTAGTATCGAGTCTTCTTCGCCAGCAAAGTCAACCGAAAATCTGAAGCACGAGCAGTTAAACGATCTCAAGTCAGCAAACGATACTCGTGAAAGAGTTGGCTTAGGTGATTATTTGAGTACGTCTGTTAAATCTCAAAGTGAATTTTACGATTCAAATGGCATACTTGGTGCAGATGATGATGATGAAAATGTAAGCAACAAATCGCAAGCCAGGAAGCAGGTGAAAAAGGTTGTCGATAATATGAAAGCCAACACAGCTGTGGGTAGTTTGGATACTGAAGTTGATCAGGTTGATTTTGTGGTCAGAGATGTGGAATCAGAAAAAAGCTTAGTCGAACAAGAAGGTCAATACTTGCAAGATGGTCTTCATCTACGGTCGTCAAAGCCACGAATACACCGAACCGAGAGAATACCTGTTATTTCAAATGCCAAGCTCGACCAGTTTGTAAATTTATTTGAAAAGGTTGCTGCCGAAATTTGTCAAAGTGATCAAATGTCGGATCGGCTCTCCAGTGCAAGTGACGGTGACAGAGAGGGAAGTGTCAAGGCTGTGCTAATCTCGTCCAAAGACAGTAATAAATCGCTGTTATCAAAATCTTCCATTGATGCTGCAAATCACAGTACATCTTCAGTAAACAAAGCCGCCTCAGTGCAGAATAGCGATGATAACTATCACAATTCTCAACACTGCGCTAAAGAAGAACGTGAAAACTCGTTTCTTGATGCTGTACGGATCTGTAAAGGCGAAGAGTCCGTGCATGGTGACCAAGATGTTGATTCATCAAATAATGCCATTCAAGCGAAATATGCCAATGACATTGATTTAAAGTATTCATCATCTTACAGATCAGACAAGCACGAAGAGTTAAGCGAGTCCGCCGAAAGTGTGTACAAAAAGCACGAAAAGCTTCACAGCGCGTCAATAAACTCAATACAGAGCAAAGAGAAGCCCACAATTATCTCCACACACATAAATAACGACAAGTTATCTTCAATTTCGCGAAATTCTTACGCTGGAAACAAATCCCGGAATTTTGCTGAGCATAATAATTCTGACATTCCGCAGTCAACCGATGACACGAAATCAAGACATGAGCAAGCGGTAACATCTGGTGCTGAAGAGAAAAGCGACAACGCTCAGATTATTGACGGCCACAACTCTCCCGAAATGGCCATGAATGAAGATGAAGATTCGGCATCAGATATGTCTTTCAACTTAAGTCAGAAATCTCTTTCGCGTCTTGATCAAGTTGTGAATGATAAGTCAAAATCGCTTAGACAGCGGTATATAAATCAGCACATCATGTCTTGCTCTTCGTCAAATAGTCAAACCGACGAAGAAAGAGAAATTGTCGACAACGAAGACTTGAGTTCATCTTTCGGTAGTAATCACGTGCACTCCACTGTAAATTATAGTTCCGATCCATATCGCCAGCAAATCAAACATTACGCACGACGATCCAGCACATCAGCCGTTTCTATCGCGCAGTACTCATTGCCTCCTTCAGACTCTCAAAGCTCATTCGATGACAGCTTTCATCGAGTGCACTCTGAAAGTGGTGATGATAGCTTTGTCAATGAGTTGGTGCCGATATTCCCGACACGCACGCCCTCGCGAACTCTTCACGCTAACCAAACAGCGGAAGCTTATGACGACCAGTTGGTCCCACAAAATATGAGCAATATCCAGACGAAGGCGCAGCAAACGTTGGAACGGAGCAGACAATATGTGAATCAGAATGAGCCTACGACGGACCGTTTGGCTGCATCTGCGACAGTTCGGCGTGTGCTAAAGAATGATGATGCAGAACATTTAGAAAAGCGGCTGTCGTCTTTTAAGGGACAAAACCTTTCCAGGTCTTCTGACTCTGATAGTGACGTAAGTAGTGTTGGTCCCGTATATAATAATGCACAATCCCGACGACAATCAACAGCCAAACTGAACGGCCACGGTCGAACAATCAAATGTCAGGATGATGGCGATGGCGAACAATCAAGTGCTTCTGGTGTCTCCAGTCTTGGGTTTTCTGTCCAACTACATCTTGCTGCTGGAATCTCACGAAGTCGCCAGAAAGGTGCAAAGCAAGATGTTTCTGAACGTCAAGATAATCAATACAGCGATCGCATGTCGGCGAACGACTCAAATGCTAAAGTCGACAATGGTTTTGCGCAAAGTTTTGCATCAGATTCTAGCGCGTCAATGGGCTCTCCACTCACCAACGTCACCAACATGACGTCTTTAGTAGATAAGGTGCTACCTTTGCATCTACGTGTACCCGCAATGATATACGGAACAAAATCTATGACAAAACCTCCCCCACCGATGCTTTGGTCAGAATCTTCCGTGTCTTCTAGCTCGAACGCAAGCGAATCTTCTGACAGGGTATTGCACTCTACTAGTGAAAAAATGTTCTTATCATCGAAAGCGAGTCCAAGCGATTCTCAATGTGTCTCTTCATCGTCTCCAATTCATGATGCAAGAAGTTCTAGTAACGACGAAGAGAAAATGTCGGATGAGAGCAGCTTGAGCTCATTTGACCATCATAAGAACCAAGTCATGTTGTCGACACATATCTCATCGAGAAATACAGTCTTACAACTTCCGCCGCCTCCTGTTGGACCGGTCGACATGAGTCAGCGACCTCTTTCAATGCAACATTCCAGTAAATCTCAAGTGTCTCTTGTCCAACAATCGAACGTGTGGTCTGCTGATACGCACCAACTACTGCCACCATCGCGTCCATGTAACGATATGACACAGCCACCAACTCCTTTCCAAAACTTTCACATCGACTCCCAGTCGTACATAAGTGATGATGAGCGAAAACTCGATGATTCAAGCAATGAAAGCAATACATCAGCCAAATTCAGTGCCGAACGTAATAATTTCTCTATAACTTCTCGATCATCTCGGCATGTGAAGAAAGCGGAAAGATTTGTAGTCCCTACAAATAATTCGAATGTCGAAACAAAGGACGAGAATGGGAAGGAACTGTCGTTAGCTGAAGCTTTTAAAAGACGCCATCCAAGATTCAGTCATCAGGTCAAACGACATCGTGATGAAATGAAAGGCCATACAAAGAAGCTACAGGATCAAGTACAGACGTCGAAGCAACCGGTCGTTGCAAATCATGATACAAGTGATGAACTTCCGGTAGAGAAAAGGGAATTACTCACTCGTTTGACAAGCGGCACGCGGGCCAAGATTTCAAGTCGTGAGATGAAAGACCGAAGCCGACGACTGTACCATCAATTACCAGAGGTTGTTGAGCGAAAACGACAGGAGGAAGTTATGCGTAGACGACGTGAGCGTCTGGACGAGCTGCGTGAACAGGAAAAGGTATGTTCGAGCTGAAAAACGTTGATTATTGGCCGAACTTGATTCAATATATTGTTTCTTGATTATTGTGCAGGAGCGACGTTTTCAACACAAGCAGCGCAGACAACAGCAGCTCAAATAATGGAAAAAGTTGTCAATTTTTCAAAGCAACTGATTCTTCTTGGGAGGTTTGGTCGTGTCCGTAAGGTCTGGAATGGTCTGATGCAATAAAATCGTAAATTAGGGAAAAAATGGTCAATTTCATGATTGTTCGTCACAACGCACTAAATCAGGCTGAAGCACAGCATGCATAGCACTAGAACCTGCGAAAAGGGAACCTAGCGATGCGCTGAAGAGAAGAACATACTGCTTGGCTGTCACTCGTGGCATCACAATTCTTTTATATGGAAGCAGAAGTATTATCCAATCAGAGTATCTATAATATGAGTTTTTCTGTCTGCATTTGGGTACAATAATTTGTTTGCTGTTGTGACAAAAATGCTTCTTTGTAAAATGTCCCGCCGCTTCTTCGCTTCAGCGACTGAGCTGCGTCCAAGGAAACAGCTGAAGAGAAAAAATCATTTTGCGACAGCAGGCCTTCCGCTTGTGCTTTTTATTGTCGGAGGATATGTGGCATTGACGCAGGTTTGAATCTCTAACGATTACTTTTTTCAATCCTTGGTAAAATATAATGTTTGTAGTTTGTCGGTGGTAAATATGAGGCAAGAGATCACATGGTTAAAAGTCAGTCTGAACACACTTTTAATTTGGAGGAAGAGCACAAGGTTTGGGCACATTCTAACTCCAAAAAGAAGAGACATACTGACAAAGCTGACTTGATGTAATTAGAAAATGACGCAAAAATTAGCATTGGACGATTTTGAGCTCAAACCCGTCCCAAAACCAAAAGACCCGTAATAGAAATGTTACCCATTTTAAACTCTTAACAACCGCATATTTGAGATTGCTCTTCTAAAAAAGACACTACATACCGGTATACTCCAAGTAGCTTACCGAAAAGTAGCGGCATGAGCTCGTCGCGATCCCGTTCTAGCGTCTTCATGCTGCTGTTTTTCTTCCTCGGTGTATTGCTCACGTCTACGAGCTTCATATTTCTTGAATGGAAACGTATAGACCGTAACAATATTGGCAATGTCAAGTCCAACGATTATCTTTCCTACGGCCCAATCGATGTCGTGTACACGTGGGTGAACGGTACCGATCCACGATGGAAGAGAGAGAAGGAATTCTGGCACAAACATTGGATTGCATCCTTAACTGGTCAACCACTACCCGTTTGGGGTCAGGATACTGACGTTTTAGGCAAAGACGACTCAAATTCTGACAATCGATTTCGAGACAATGAAGAGCTTCGGTATTCCCTTCGATCTCTTGAAAAGTACGCACCGTGGGTACGTCATGTTTATATTGTAACTGATGGTCAAATTCCATCGTGGCTTGATATTGATTCACCAAATCTTAGCATTATCAAGCATCGTGACATCTTTACAAACTCCAGTCACTTGCCCGTCTTTTCATCTCCAGCTATTGAATGGAATCTTGACAATATCGATGGACTTAGTGACATGTTTCTTTATTTTAATGATGATGTCTTTCTTGGATCACCTGTACGACCAGAAGACTTTGTGAGTCAAGCAGGTGTACAAAAGATCTACTTTGCGTGGGAAATTCCACAATGTGCTGATAGATGCTGGGAAGCGAATTTAGGAAATGGTCGATGTGATCGAGAGTGTAATGTTACAGCTTGTGACTATGACATGGGAGACTGTGGATGTGATGTGAATTTAATCGATGACTCATTACATTGTGATCCCGAAAAGGTAGCAAGCATTCTGGATCATACACCGAATCCAATGAAAATTAGCAATCATTTGTGTGAAGGAATGTGTCAATACTTTTGGCTTGGAAATGGATTATGTGAGCGATCGTGCAATATAAGCTCATGTGCGTTTGATGGAGGAGATTGTCGAGTGGTGGAATCACTGGAAAGTCACTACCCACATGTTTTAGATGACGAAGAAGCGACAAAGTTATCGCCTTTGATTAAGGAATTATGGTCTGCAGAAGTTAAGGAAAACCATACATTAGTACATGTGCCATTGGACGTAAATGCGACGTATTTGAATCTGACTGATGCTTTTGGTGTCAATGGAAGTATTTTTAGTGCTGTGCATGATAATGGCGAACTTATTCGCTTTGCTTCGATATACGAGACAGATTTAGTCTTGATTTTAGTATTTGGTCGCGATCGGAATGCCAAACCCATGACTAGTAGTGTCCAGATGACAATCATCGGAGAGAATGCAAAGGGCGATTCTATTCAATTGGACTTTTCGATTGTAAGGGGAAACAAGCAGATGGACGCTGCAAATTTTCAAGAGATTCGAGAAGTATCAAGTGGAATGTTCACATTTGAGAATACGAGTGTTCGGCCTTACCACATTCGATTGCCTTTTGGATTTCGACAAGCTACTTTCCGGAATATCATTTCATCGCGTGACGAAGATTTAAAGTTGATTCTAACCGAAGAGAATGTTGAATCTTTGGTGGAAGAACAGATGGTGTACGTAGCTAATCAATTAGCCCATGAGAAAGTTCTTGTTGAGGTCTTTTTACCATTTAATCTTACTGGAAAGAAGTTGATAGATGGTGAGTTTCTAAATCTTGGTTGGAATTTAGACTTGCGTCTGCATAACGACGAAAACGATTTGGACTGGAGCGATGACGATATATGTCAATTAATTGTTCCAAACAAAACATTGACGTCATTGAGTGCTGCCAAAAGTGAAGTTGAAGAGACTGTCGTGGATGATAAGCGTAATTTGAATGATCAAATCGATGAAACTATTAAACTTGCTGGTGGAGACGAGAGTTTTATAAGAGAAGAAGTGGATCAGGATGCTGAGGATCACTTATGCCGCCTTGCAGAGAATAACCGTGGCATCTATATTACAGTGCAAATACCGACGAAAGACGATATCATTGCAAGGTCGGCTTTCGAAAATGAGGAATGGGACATCTTTAACACACCCACAGCAAGTGATTTAAGTGCGAGTGATAGTAATGTTGTTGATACTGAAAAGAAAGAAAATTTCAAGATGCTAAATGAGAGAAAGATGAGTCCACAAATTACCGATGGCAAACTCTGCTTCTATGACACGGACCGTGCAGATCCATGGCGCTATCGATATTGCTTTGCTCTCGCCATGGGTCAATATCACTTGACAAAAGTGGACGTGGTACATAAACCAACGCTGTGGGATCGTAAGCATTTACGAAAGCGAAAAATTCTTTTCTCACCGGAAGATAATCTGGCTTTGCTTGAGTTTGATGATCAGTGTATTGACACGACCGAAAGGTATATTGGCATTCAACCTCAACTCTGCTATCCAAACGAAGCTACGGTCTTGCGTGATTACGATCAAGACAAAATGAAGGTGGATCCACGTCAAGAGAACGAAGAGGAAGGTCGCCGTCTTGCGTGTGAAGCACAACAACGGCGATTAGCACTTCGCGAAGAGCGTGAGAAAGAAATGCGAGAAGCTCAAGCAAACAGTAGCTTACTAGAACGCTTAAGTCGCTTTGTTGGAACCATCCAACTAGCAATTGGGTTTGGAAATGTTGTATCGACTAATGAAAACATCGAAGACGTGCAGTATGCAGACGTATGTGGTCCTTTATCATCGACAAAATCAAGAAGAGAGACGCAAGAAGTGACGACAAAGGATGTTCAGGCTCACTTGTCAAAAGACACGTTTGGTGATTCGCTACGGTATGTCAACAAGCTGTACAATCGTGTTTTTGGAAAACCAAAGACTTCTGAACGCCGTCGCGTGCCGTCGCACATGCCGTTTTTGCTCCAAAAGTCGATTATTCGCGAGATTAAAGACTTTTGGACAAAAGAGATTGAAAACACCTCGACACATCGTTTTCGCCACCCTCAGGACATGCAATTTAGTTTCTCTTACTTTCATTATTTGATTAATCGCGCCAAGATTCACCCTCACACACTGCAAGATATTTGGCGGGAATACCTCGATGCAAATCGTAACGGTGTCTTAGATGAGGATGAAGTTTTGACGGCTGCTAGCTTAGCTCATGGAGACGCTCCACCAGAAGATTTTGTCACCACCGTACGCAACTGCATTCAGCCTGCAAAGCGTGAAAAAGTGCGGGAGTTTCCAACAGGTGAAGGTACTATAAGACTTCAAGAGACATTGACACCGTACATTACATTGGAGCAACTTGAACGCTGTCCATCCGTGCGGGATGCTTTGATCCAAAATGTTCGCTACGAGAATCAAGTTGAATTAATGCCAGAGACGGAAGTCACGTTTCATATGTTAAGCGATAATTACAAGTTTGCGTGGAAACAAATGATGGGGACGCGAGCGCGTCGGACGAAGTTTGTGTGTATCAATGACGATATGAAATCACCATCGATGGCTGTAAGTCAGATTCTCCACGAGCTATTTCTGTCCATTTGGCCCAAACGCTCGCAATTCGAGCTGCCATATCATCTTAAAAATCGCTACACGCACATTGATGAATACACTGCTGCACACGAACGTCGTCAAACTGCTGTAGTTGTTGCTATTGTGATTGTCATGGTACTTGCTTTCGTCTTTCGCACGACTCTTTTCACATTATTTGGTTTTCAAACAATTGCACGAGCAAGAGCGATCTCAGCATCACAATTAACTCATGAACTGCAAAAACAACAAGAAGATGAAGTGAAAATACGTGGGAAAAGCTGGAACTTATCACCAAAGTCGAACATTAACAAGTCAAAAAAGGCAATCGAAAAGAAATGAAGTCCTGACGAATACACCTTTTCGCACTGGTGAAGGAATTATATATTACGATTTGCAAATTCATAGAACTTAAAAACGTTCTCGCGCATGTAAGTTTGACAAGCAGAATACAGCTGAAAGTCTTGGATGTAGCGTCCACTTTTCACTCATTACCTTATGTTTGAGAACGAAAATGGGAATCGCGTTTGTCCTCTGCTTTTTTCTTTTCTTCTCATCGTTATGACTTCAGCTCATAGAATAATGAATTGTACGTAGAAAGAGGCCCAACGATAAAAGACTTGGCCAAGCGTCGAATAGCTCAAATGCTCTAGTACACATCAGGCGGTTGTTGGTGATGACCAATAGTAGTACTAGTACTTGTTTGTAAATGAACTCGAAGCGTGTAATTGGCCTGTTCAAGACGCTTTATATGCTCGGCGGCTTGTGTTGCCAATTGTTTCAAAGCCTGATTTTCATTCTGTACTTCCTCTTTTTGCTGATTCTGAATAGCTACAGCACGCTTAAGTAAACGATTTTCACTCTGAAGTCTTGCCATGTCATTGTCTTGTAAAGCAATACGCTCTTGAGTATAGTGTAACTCCTGTCCAAGTCGCTGAATTTCCACGTCTTTTTTCATGAGAAATTGGTCGTACTCTGTTTTTATTCGATTCATTTCAGCAAGTTTCATCTGCTCAAAGTATTCAACGTGACGTTGACTGTACTTGGCTACATCAGCGTCTTCATCTTGACTATTACCGTCGTTTACCCCTCGACGTTGGCGTTTTCTCGAGAGATCAAACGACTCAACATGACGTGAGCGCTTCTTAAGACTTTCAGGGTACACTATCAGGTTATAAGAGAGTTAGACACGTAGATTTACGATGTATTCAACAAGAATGACGCTAACTTAATACCTGGGGAAGCGGCGATCGATGCCATTAGGGTAGAACGTTAGGTGGGGAGGTTTTACTTTGGGACTGCAAATTTGTATACACGACTCATTGGAGCCAGAAAATTGGGTGTACGTATATTGGATTGATTGCGTGATTAATATGGTAAAGGCACATTTTATATTAGCAAAATCAGATTAAGAAGAAAAAGAAATACATAAAATCAGGATATGAAAAAATCAAATTAACAAAAAAGCTCGGAAAGATCTACACAAAAAGATAAAGCTTCTCGATTGTATGTAGTCGTATTTCGCGGAATTATATTGTAATTTAGTTTCCCCGCCGATACATGCGTGGGTACGTAGAATCCAAATTTACGATTTCTGACCTTATGAGTCGCTTACCAGAATAAGATGTGGCTATTTATCATATCAAATTCTAAGCTTTGTCTACAAATCCGCAGAACTTGACTGCAGAGCTCTTGAATTTTGGAGATTTCAAATAAAAGATGAAAAGAATATTTTGGTAATTGTGTTTTGATTATTACTTTGCTTTTTATCCTATGGCAGATAAATCGGATTTAACGGCGGGAGTGGGTTGAGTGCACGGATGTCTGAAAGAATCCTCTTCATCTCATTGATCAAATGCCTCACGCAATGAAGAGCCATTTTTGTAAGCCTTGAACAATTCCGATAACTCTGGTGTGATTTGATGCAAATTACTCGTGAGCGGATCTCGGATTTTATCAAACAACGAATCAAACGTTTTGCCTGATGGTTTGCATGAGAAATGTGAAGATAATCGAGGGAAGTCGTCATCAATTGGGCGATTATCTGAAACTTGCAACGTACAAATACGACTTTGTTGAAAAGGTGAAGTGAGCAGTAGAAGGCAAGTTTGGAAGTGAATGTATTTAAGGGCCTTAGTTCGCTATTCCGAGCTACCTCTAAGCCTTTCCTATGACGTCATCGTGGGCGC